ATTACAAAAAAAGGATGCTTCATACCATATAAGACTTTACTTTGGAAAAAAATGAAAAACATCTTCGAATTGAAGAAGAGACTTAAAACTTACAAAAAAGAAACTATGAAACTATTTTCAAAGTGAATTATATGGATGAAAAGAAACCAAATTCAAGAGGAAAGAAGTATTCTAGAAATAGCAATTCTAGAGGGAAGGCAATAAAACATCAAGAATTATTAGGCTCTAATGTAACGAAAAATAAGACCAATAAGTCGTTTTATCATTACGGAAGGAAAGGCCATTTCGAACTTGAAGAAGCAAAGGATAGAGAATGTCAATGCTTGCAAATATGATGGAGAAAGAAAGCTGATGCACTTGTTGTAATGATTTCGACTTACACATTGGCATGATCACGGAATTGAACATAGGTGTTGTAACCAAGAGCATTAATTAGTGATATGATTTTGGTGCCACCGTCCATGTGTATAATGACATGGCTCAATTCAAGACCTTTGAGAAGGCTATTGAAGGTTATGAAGTAATGATGGAAAATAAGGATACCGCAAAGGTTCTTGGCAAAGGCACTATTGAAATATTATTTACTTCGGAAAGAAGTTAATGTCGTCAATGTTCTATATGTTTCTAAAATTAGAAAGAATCTTGTATCTACTAATCGTTGTGTAAAAGGGGATTAAGACTGTTTTGGAGCATGAGAAAGTTGTATTCTCTAAAAATGGTGCCTTGTAGGCAAAGAGCACTCTTGTGATGACATATTCAAACTCGGTATTATCAATAAAATGAATGTTTCTATTTATATTGTTAACGCTTCTTCTTTTCATTTGTGGCATAGTAGATTGGCATATGTAATTTCGATTTTGTTAAATATATGTCAAAACATAGTTTAATCTCTTGCAATGATATTAGTAATGAAAAATGTGAAATTTGTATACAATCAAAGATGACTAAGAAACCTTTTTCTTTAGTTGAAAGATCTTCCGAATTATTAGAACTTGTTCATTTTGATATATGTGAATTAAATAAAATTTTAACTAGAGGAGGAAATAGGTATTCATCACTTTCATTGATTATCATTCTAGATACACTTATGTGTATTTAATGAAAACTAAAGATCAAGCTTTTGATATGTTTATGTGTTATAAATTCGAAGTTGAAAATCAAAGAGAAAAGAAGATTAAAGTGTTAAGAAGAGATAGGGATGGTGAATATTTTTCTACTAATTTTTCTTCTTTTTGTGAGGCTAATGCATTATACATGAAATGAGTGCTCCATATACCCTCATAAAAAATGGTTTGGCTGAAAGAAAGAATAGAACACTAGTTGATATGGTGAATGCTATGATCTTGAATGCTAACTTACCTAATAATTTATGGAGCAAAGCATTGTTAATTGCATGTCATGTGCATAATAGAATACCTTCTAAGAAATTTAAAGTCTCTATATATGTATTATGGAAAGGAAAAAAACCAAATCTAAATTTTCTTAGAGTTAAGGGATGTCTAGCCTTTTATAGAGTTATAGATCCTAAACGAACCAAGTTAGGACCAAGGGCTCTAAAAAGTGTGTTTATAGGATATGCTCAACACTCCAAAGCATATAGATTATTGGATTTAGAATCTAATGTGATAGTTGAATCAAGAGATGTTGAATTTATTAAACATAAATTCACCAATGATTCTAATACTACCATATAAACACATGAACAAATTGATCGAAGTTTACTATCCGGTGGTAAAAGAAAAACTAATGATACTCCTAGCGAACCTAGGAGAAGTCAAAGGACTAGAAAAGAAAAGAAATTGGATTCATATTTTATTGATCCACAGTTTATTATCTTCCTAGTTAAAGGTAATAAAAAATCTGTACTTAATAAAATAACTATTTTATTAAACATAGAAGAAGATCCTAAAACCTATAGAGAAGCTATGGCATCAAGAGATGTAACATTCTAAAAGGAGGCAATCAATGATGAAATTGACTCAATATTATCCAATAATACTTGGGTATTAGTAGATTTACCTCCGAGTTGAAAACCTATAGGTTGTAAATGGGTATTTCATAGAAAGTATAATACTAATGGATCAATGTAAACATTTAAGGCTAGGTTAGTGGTAAAAGGATTTAGGAAAAAGGAAGGTATTGATTATTTTGACACATATACATCGGTGGCTAAGATAACATCCATTAGAGTACTATTTGCTTTAACTTCTATTCATAATCCGATTGTGTATCAAATGGATATTAAGACAAGTCTTCTTGAATGGTGACTTGGATGAAGAAGTATATATGGAATAGCCTAAAGGGTTTGTATTGCTTAGAAATAAGAATAAAGTATGCAAACTGGTTAAATCATTGTATGGTTTGAAACAAGCACCAAAATAATGGCATGAAAAATTTGATTATGTTATACTTGTCTCATAGATTTAAGCATAATAACATAGATAAGTGTATTCATTCTAAATTTACAAAAGAATATGGTGTTATTGTATGCTTATATGTTGATGATATGCTTCCATTTGGGATAAATATCGGTGGTTTGAATGAAACAAAGAAGTACTTATCCTTACAATTTAATATAAAAGATATAAGAGAGGTAGATACTATCTTGGGAATCAAAGTGAAGAAAATTAGTGAGGGTTATGCTTTGTGTCAATCCCATTACGTTGAGAAAATCATAAATAAGAATTAATATTTGGGAATTAAAGAGGTAACCACCCCATATGAAAATTCACATAAGTTAATGGAAAATTCGGGAGAGCAATTGCTCAAATTGAGTATGCTAGTGTAATTGGTAGCTTAATGTATGCCATGCATTGCACTAAGCCAGGCATTTCCTTTGCAATTTATAAGCTTTCAAGATACACTAGTAATCTTGGTATTGATCATTGGAAAGTAATTTCTAGAGTACTTGGTTACCTCAAAAGAACTTTGAGTTTAAGACTATCCTATGAAGGTTATTCATCGGTATTGGAGGGATACATTGATGCTAGTTGAATAACAAGTGCTAGAGATAACAAGTCTACGTCTAATTGAATATTCACTTTTGGTGGAGGAGCTATCTCATGGGCTTTTAAGAAGAAGACGTCTATAACCCATTCCACTATGGAATGCGAGTTTGTTGCACCGGCGGCCATAGGAAAAGAGGCGGAATGGTCGAGGAATTTATTGCTAGAAATAGAGTTATGGCTGCAATTGATGCTAACCATTTTTTTACACTCGTGATAGTGAAGCTACTATATCTAGGGCTTTTAGCATGATATACAATGGAAAATCTAGACATATAAGCTTGAGATATGAATATTTCAAACAATTAGTTCTTAAAGGAATTATCATAATCTTATATATAAGAACAAGTAATAACTTAACAGATCCGTTTACAAAAAGGCTTACTAAAGACTTAGTAAGGAAAATTTCAATTGGAATAGGTTTAAAACCCTTCTTCTAGAGTAACTAGTAATAGAAATGCAACTTTTCACTAGTATTATCACTAGTTTAAAGTTCAATGGGTAAAAACAAGTTACTCATAAGTGGTCGTGGAAGTATTAGGATATTCTACTTATGTTTCCATTCTAAGTTATCTAGTACTAATACTTTTTAGAGGATGAGTTATAAACTATTAATGAGGATTAAGTTATGGAATATGATCAGTATATTTAAAACTCAATAGGAACTTCACTTATATAAATAGAAGGAGTGGTGTCACTCCCGACAAAAGTTCAAGGGTCGACTTTTGGAAATGTTGATGAAAATCTAGGACGTAGCACACGACCATATAAGTGCTAAAAGAATTTTTTAGAATCTCTAAAAGAAGTTCAATTAAATCACGTGTGTGGTATTTCCAGTTTTAATATAAGGGATATTAGTTCAATTGCTTAAGATACCACTTATTCCATTAAGACTTTGAGATATTTACACTAAAAGGAGATTGAAGTCGAGAGAGATCTTAAGAATGGTAGATACTATAAGGACTTAACATTATTATCTAAATGGGAGATTGTTAGAAATCTTAAGAATGGTAGATAATAAGTTCGAGTGTGTTATGAAAGAAATTTAAAAGTATTTTTAATTTTTTATTGTAGTTGATTACTTATTAATAGTTTTCAAACAAACATAACGAGTTGGCTCTAATAGTTATATCTATTAGAATCCAATAGTTATGAGTGTTAGATTATAATTGTGAAAATCAAATAGTTATGTCTATTAGAATCTAATAGTTATGATTGTTGGATTGTGACTGTTAGAATCTAACGAGTTATGCGTGTTGGAATCAATAGTCACATATGGTATAAAAGGATATTAGTAATATATATATAACAGTACCACTACATATGATAAAATCAATTAATTTTTCTCTCGCAATCCTCCTCTCCTCTTAAAATTTTTTACCTTATAAAACTCTACAACTTTAAGAGATATTCTTTTGAAGGAATTTTAGGAGTGTTGCTCGTAGTTCCTTGTGTGAAAAAGTGTATTTTAAAGGTGAATTGCTAAAATCCCTGCAGCATTGTAATGGAGGCAACAATCACCTTAAGGATAGTGTGGGATATCTTTTATACGCAATTAAGTACTATATAATTCTATTATTCTTTAAGATGATTTTAAATTTTCCAACAGGATATATCTCCTAAGCCATAACCAACGATCCTCAACACCCAAAACCAGACCCTCTCTTATTTTAAGACCTCAAACCAAGCAGATCTTAGCGAGCCTTCATAAATTAAACCCAATCCTTATCGGTAAAAAATACCAAATCACTCCCTTATAGGAAAAGGCATAAACACTCGTGCATGGTTCACTAGACCACCATTATTACCATCTCTTGTTTATGTAACCATATTACCCGTAGGTAATTTATCCTACTCCATCCACTAACATCATCCATCTTTACAATCTCCCAATACTAAAGTCCCAATCAAACACAAGTACCTAATCATCTCTCATATCCTAGCCTTGTTATCTACCCAAAACCTCTTTACAAACCCATTTTCAATTTTTCCTAGCTTCTCCATACAAATCAGCTTTTTTGCCAAAACCTTTAGCTTGTCATCAACAACATGTGTTCAACCATCTTCACCCGTAAGCCATAACCCTTTCACGTCATTGTTGGTGATGAAGGACGAGGATATAATGGATAATTTGATAAAGATCTTAGAGGTGGAATTCGGATTTGGAGTGGGTTTATTTGGTGTCAAAGAAGATGAGGATGGGGTGGAGAGGATAGCTGCGTGATCCCGGCGAAGTTTAAAAAAAATAAAATAGAAGAGGTAGAGAAGGATGAGAGGATGGAAGGCATCATGTATGATTTTGATTAATTTAGGGTTGGTTTGAAAGAAAGAAATTGCGAGAGATTGAGTTTTATTTGTGAAAAGAGAAATAGAAAGAGCGCTTGACAAGCCCGACTTATGAAAAACCATACGGGCTAGGCTAAACCTAGCTCGCATGGATAAAGCTTGGGCTGGTTTTAGCCTGGCCTAAGCCCCTAAAAAAAGAAGGGGAAAGGGGCAAGTCAGCCCGAGCAACCCTAGCTCGGTGGGTAGAGGGCTCGTTGACAAAAAAATAGGTCCAATACCTAAGTTTTTTTCCTAGATAAACTTACCCTAAATGTTTTTATTTATGCATTTTTATTTCTTGCTTAATTTAGATTTAATATTTTAAATTTATTTAGTTAATGTCATTTTTAGAATTTATTCTAACTATTAGTTTAGATTATTAATAGGTGGACGAATTATTAAGTCTTTTAATTTTTAGGGACTAATGACAATTCTCCACTAACAAAAAAAGAAGAAAATAAGAGAGAGAGAGAGAGAGAGAGAGAGAGAGAGAGAATGTTTAAGTAAGAAAAAAAAAGATAGAATGCTAAGAAAAATTAACAAAGTCTCATGTTTGATGGAGATTGTTGTTAGTAAAAAAAGAAAATGAATTAAAATCAAAATTCTTAACGAAATCTCCTATCCGATGAGGATTGTCATTGAAAAAATAAAAAAATAAAATTTTTAAGAAAGTCTCTTATGTGATAGGGACTCGTTGTTAGCAAAAAAATAAAAAATTAAAACTCTTAAAAAAGTTTCTTATCTTATAATGACTCGTTGTCGACAAAAAAAAAAATAAATAAAAAAAAAATCATCATTTTAATCATTAAGATATTCTCTAACACACCAATTATGTCGAGACTTAAAGTGGATCCGATATTTGAACCGATATCTCTCTTGATGAAGGGATCCGATAATTGGTTCAATATGATGCTCGCGATAAAAAATGAAAAACTTAATTTGGTTTAGAGAATTGGAGTTCAAATAAAAAATAATTTAGCATAAATAAAACACCTTAGGAGATGAATTTTAGGACTAAGCTAAACTTGATACCTTTCTTAAGAAATGATGCTTTAGGGTAACCGATATCTTTCTAAAAATGTAACAAACTCCTTACCCCATAATCTCTAGACTAGTGCTAATTTTTTAATTTCTTATTTTTTACACAACTAGGTGGCGACTCCCGAATTTAATAATAAGTCACATCCCTAAAAATTATAAATAACTCGTAAATATATCTTTAAATAACTTAAATTTTTCGAGAGTCCCATCCGATGTCGAATAGCAACAATCTTAATTGCACTTATATTATTTTAATCAAACTTAATTTTGATAAATTGCATATAAAAAGATGGTTAACTTAATTCTAAACATGTACGTGAATCTATTCATAATTTAAAGCATTTTGGTCTTCGACATTTATAGTAAAAAAAATTAAATATTTGTAGGATAATTAATTATTAGTTTTAAATAATTGAAAAATTACAAATTGTATCATATTTTGTAAGTTTATTAAGAATGGTTTAATTAAAAAAAAACAATAAGGATTGATGTAAGTAACACATAGTTTCAACTTTTGTTCGAATTTGAATTATTTTTATGAAAAAAATAGTATGTGTATGACTCATTGTGAATAAATATGCTTGAAAAGTTTTAAAGAGCCTTGATTGTGATGATATACACCCGTCACAAAGTGTCTATGATCTACCTAAGGTTAACACACTTTTACTTTAAAATGATTTGACTATAATTACATTTATTTTCTATTAATTTAGAGATCAATATAAATTGTTTGCTTTTTATGGGTTTATTTAATTTTGAGAACAAAACATCCGTATGCCGGATGGTGTTGTGGAAATAAAGATGATAGTGTAAGATTAATTATGACTCACATGATAAATGTATCTAGAATGATACATGATACATGTATCTAAAATATATAATTGAATATAAACCATGTTATAAATTATATTTAAAGTGTATCTAATTAATGAAGATACATGTATTAATTTGATACATGTATATATGTAATTATGATACATTTATTGATTATAATACATGTATAGTTAAAGTATGTCTAATTAAATAAAATACATATAATTAATGATAATACATGTATAATTAAAGTGTACCTAATCAATTATGATGCATGTATTTCATTAATTATAATGCATGTACTTAATAATAATATATGTACAAGTCTTGATGGGAGGCTTGGGTTAAGACCATAAAAACAAGGAGTTGGTCTTCTCTTTGGCTCTCAATGAAAATTACAAAACAGAATAAAAATTAAGGATTTTAATTTTCATCATCAAGTGAGAGATCAAAAGGGAAAAACCATTTTTTATATATTATTTACTTCGTAGTATTGATCAAGGTTTAAGCATGAATCAAGGCCTAAACATGAATCAAGGTATGTTTTCTTTTAAATTATATGAAAACCATGAAGTTTTAAGATTTATGGGTATGATGAATTTATGTCTTTTATTCTGCATAAGTGTTGATTGTGGTATTCATGATAATGAAACTTATATCTTATTGATTTGCCAAATTATATTTAAAACTTTCATGATTGCCAAATTACATTTAAAACTTTCAAGTGGTATCGGAACCAAGTTTAAGAACTTATGTTTTTACATTTAAGATTATGGATTCCTCTCTTATTTGTGATTTTAGAATTCAAATTATAAAGCTAAATTGATTATTATGACATATTAGAGTTTTTCCATAGTGGAGTATATATGTCATTAAAATTGCTTAAGTATTATATTTTTAATTTAAAAAATATATATTAAGAATGATTTGTTAGTCACCAAAGTGGCTAAATCTTAATGTGAATAAATTTTAGTTGCAAATTATTTTTAATTACCTATAAACCTTAAAGTTTTAAATGACATTAAGTTATATAATTATATTTGTTAATGGGTCAATTGAAATTTGTTCATATAAGACATTTCGGGATCAACCCAAAGGTTAATTAATTGTTCTTATAATTGGAAAATATAATTATGGTGATTAATATGTTCTCTTTGTTTTGCTTTGCATATCCAAATATAGCAAAATTGAGCTATTTAGTATATATATTATTACTAATTATTGTTTATGTTCGTACATCTTAGTATCACCTAAAGGAAAACTTTGATCTACCTTATGTTTATATGTTTGAATCTAAATTTATGAATCAAAGTATTGATATAAGAGTATCTTATTTGCGATATACGTGCTCGTTTCACTTCATTCGCATGCTTCATCCATTTCGACATCTAATGGATTAAGTTTCTCCGATTGGTGGGAACAAGTCTAGTTTTAATTAGGTGTTCGGATCTTGATTTAGCACTTCAAGATGACATGCCTACCGACATTACCGATGAGAGTAATGCTGATGAAAGGGCTTTCCGTCAAACTTAGGAAAGATCAAACATATTAAGCTTAATGTTTATGCGAATGATAGTGGCAAACAACATAAGGTCTACTTTTTTTGAAAACTCGATAGTGCTAAGGAATTTAAAGAACTTATAGAAAAGCACTTTCAACCTACCGATAAGTCTCTTGCTCTTACATTAATAACTACTTTAACCACCATGAAATAAGATGGTTCACGTATCATGCATGAGCATGTTCTTAAAATGACGACCTTAGCAGACAAAATTAAAGAGCTTGGGAATGAATGTTGATGAGTTCTTTTTAGTATAGTTCATACTTAACTCTTTGCCTCCCGAGTAATATGGTCTATTCCAAATGAACTATAATACTATAAAAGTAAGTGGAGTGTAAATGAATTGACTAGTATGCTTATTCAAGAGGAGACAAGGTTAAAGAATCATAAAGCTCATTCTGTTCATTTCTTAAGTCATCAAAAAGCTAAAAAGAATTCTAAAAAAAAGTTAAAAACAGCAAGAAGAAAGTTTATTAAACCCGAATGACTCTTTGAAGGTCTGCTTCATAAGAAGAAACATGGGAATATTAAATGCCAGCTTTATAATAAATTTGGGCATTTAAAGAAAGACTGCATGAAATGTAAAGCTTGGTTTGAAAAGAAATGTAAGCATTATAATGCTTTAGTATGTTTTTAATCAAACTTTACCGAAGTTTCTCATAATACTTGGTGGATTGATTTTTGTTCCACTACTCATATTTCTAATACAATATAGGGATTCCTTTCAATCCAAACCATAGAGGCAAATAATTTTTTTTTTGTTATTGGGAATCAAAACAAAGTTGCAATTTAAGGCATTGGTACTTATCGTTTAATTTTAGATATTGGATATCCTTTGGATTTTTTTCATACCCTTTATGTACCTATATTTTCTCGTAATTTAGTTTCTTTATCAAAACTTGATGTAACGAGGATTTGGTTTTAAGTCCGGTTCTAGATCTTTTAGTTTATTTAAGAATTATTATCTTATTAGTTCTGGAATAGTATGTGATAGTCTTTACAACTTTAGACTTGATAATGTTTTTGTTGAAACCTTAATGACCTTACATCATAATATTGATACTAAAAATAGTTTAGTTGATGAGAATTTTGCTTACTTGTGGCATAAATGTTTGGGTCATATATCCAAATAAAGGATGCAAAGATTAGTAAAGAATGAAATTCTTTTAAATTTGGATTCTACTAATATTGGAGTATGTATTGATTGTATTAAGGAAAAAAATAAAACACACTAAGCAAAGAGCCATTATTGATTGTATTAAGGAAGCACACAACTTCTTGAGATTATACACACCGATATATGTGGACCTTTTGACCCTCCATCTTTTGGTGAAAAGAAATATTTTATCACCTTTATTGATGATTTTTCACATTATGGTTATATTTATCTATGCATGATAAATCTCAATCAATTAATGTACGAGAGGTGTATATTAAAGAAGTTGAGAGGCAATTAGGTAAAAAAGTAAAAATTGTAAGGTCGG